GCGCTGTGATTGGCCAGCCGTAATTGGGGGTCAGTAATTAGGCAAAGCGGGTGGTTGCTGGAGGGCTGTGGGAGGCGGGTGGGGAAACGGATTCGGGGCTGGGGGAAGAAAATCCCCCCGGGTTTGCAGGAAGGTGGTAAATAGTCTGGATTTGCAGGAATAATGTTACATAAATAATTCCGGCTTTGCAAGAAAAATACTTAAGAAAATCGTTGTAGAATCGCAAGAATAACATGAGAAATGATTCCAGGATTGCACGAATAAGGGAAAACCATCTTAGAGTTGAAATACTAAAACAAGATCATTCTAGAACAGCAAGGATGAGAAAAGTTAAGTCCAGAATTGCAAGAACAAATTTATTCTAGCTTTGTAAGAATGATACATGGGAAGGAAATAATTATAGAATTGCAAGAACACAAGAAAACAATTCTGGAATTGCAAGAATAATACATAATAATTCTACAATTACAAGAGCAACACATAACCATTCTAGAATTGCCAGAATCTACGAGGACCACCGGTCTAGAATTAGAACAATCTATAAGATGATGATAATTCTAACATTACAAGAACAATGTGTAATAAAACAATTCCACAACTCCAAAGAATGGCAAGGTTTGCTCTTGCCATTTCGTACATTGTGCCCTGGCCCCTCTACTCCACGGGAACGGGCCAGTTCCGAAACTTGGTGACCAAGCTACATGCTCCAGTGTGGGTGCTCCTGAGAGTCACGTTCCTCCCTGCAGCACCAAACGGCTGTCGTCAGGAGGCTGCTGCTGCCTCCTCCTCCTGCACTGGGTGGCCCCAAAGCCTGCCCGTGTGGTGGCTGCTTTTTCAGTCTGGGTTAACATCAATGTTTCCATAATTTTAAGTATTTCTTGCCCCAAGAAGGCAGCCACCTCCTCCTGAGGGCAGTATTTAACATCTCGCACAGCTGTGGGTAAAACTCCAGCAACCGAAACACCGTCCCGCTGGCGTAACAGTTCCCCTATTGCACAGACAGTGTACGGATAAACACATTTAAGATCACAAAGCGCTTGGATAATGCAAAGTGGCAGCAGCACTGCAAAATCAGGCCAATTAAAGAACGATTCAAGGTTTTAATTGCATTTAAGAGCATCTCACATTAGACTGCATCCTCTGTGTGAGAGCTACCACTTGCTTCAATCTGATGAGACTAAGCCCTGCAGTACTCAACATTGGCATGTCCAAGGCAAACAGCAAACTTCATGGGCATAACAGAAGGGCGTGGAGCAATGCTTCTGTTTAGGACGTTTTTAATGGTGGTTTCACAGCTGGACCTTTGCTGACCACAGCTGAGCTCTGCATAACTCGGCAAGTTTCTCCTCACACCCAGGCACAACTGGTGGTTTTCAAGCGAGGTATTGAGCGCTCCTTGAAAGAGAGGGGCTGGGCTCTGCATCAAAGCTGGTTTGATTCCATCGGATTACTTTGCTGTGAACAGGAAACACCATGTAAACGGCTGTACAGAGTTCCCCACAAGTACGATAAATGAAGTAGGACAGTCTCTTAGAACAATTTTGCCCAGACCCACCTGGTCTGCAAGAAGCCCTTAACACAGCACTGGGGCACTCACACTCCTGCGGTATCAGAGGACAGAACCGTGCCTGTCTCTTGTCATCTGCAACAGAACGCTGTGAACAGGAAACACCATGTAAACGGCTGTACAGAGTTCCCCACAAGTACGATAAATGAAGTAGGACAGTCTCTTAGAACAATTTTGCCCAGACCCACCTGGTCTGCAAGAAGCCCTTAACACAGCACTGGGGCACTCACACTCCTGCGGTATCAGAGGACAGAACCGTGCCTGTCTCTTGTCATCTGCAACAGAACCCATGCCTGCTAGTTGGCCTTTTTCCAGTGCACCGATGAGAAGCGAGCTGAAGGAGATGTGGGAGACCCCACAGCTGTCTTGCTGTCGGGCAGGGCAAACTGCTGGAGGAGATGCTCCTGGAGGGTGATTCCTGCTTTGGCTTTTCCTAGCTCTTGGCTCTTGGCTCCTTCGCCACCTCCTGGCTGGCTGACAGCCGGCAGCGCGCAGGCACGGAGCGCTGCAGCAGCCCCCCCCGGCCGCTCATCCCTCTGCAGCCAGCAAGCCGCAAACCCCAACTCACTCACCCGGCACCTCACTGCCTCTGGGGTGAGGCTGCAGAGAACTTCACTCGACCAAGACAAATGCTTTGCACCCCGGAGAAAGCTTGTTCATGGTGATTGTGAGACACCGAGAACATGAAGTTGGGTTGGAACGGATTCCCAAGGGAACCTGAGGGTATTTGTACTCCTCTCTGGCCTCTCTGTTTGTCTGCACAAGGCTTCCCTTTCCTTCACCTTTTGATGGGAAGTGGGAAAGCAGCAGTTCAGAAAGCTCTGGTTTTGACCTCTGGCAGATGGTGGAGATGGCAAGATCACGGTGCGCTGGGGACGTTGCCACGTTGCTAGAAGGTGCTCTGGTACCAGCACAGTGATGGCTGCCTATGAACCTCTGCAGAACAGGGCTCCAGTGGCCCACCACTCCCTCAGTGCTGTGTCCGCCACTGTAGTTTCAGAGGACTCAGGGCAGCCAAGCCAGTTTTGGGGGTGACATTGGCTTCAGAGATAATGGCAGCCTTGCCCTGAGCTGTGAAGTGTGGATTCCTCCTCTGCCCGACACAGCTGGCTGCCTGGGGAGCCACTCAACCATTGACATCCACACATCTGCAGCTGCCATTCCTGAGGAGTCCCAGAGGAGACCGAATTTCTGTGTCTACTCCACTTCCCTCCTCTTAATCATGCGCCCCACCTAAAAGGTATTTTTCCAAATGAGTAATCTTTAGGCTGCTGCAATCAGGACGAGAGATCTCTCCCTTTACAGCAGCATTAGCATATGACTAAAGCCTCCTATGGTTAGCTCTGCAGTGCTTTCAGAGCAGTGTTGAGGTAAACACTTGGCCTCCTCCTTCACAAGTTCTCTGTAGTTGAAGAGCAATATATAAGGAATGATTCATCTGTATCTTCTCATAGCTGCCTAAAAGTTGCCGTTTCATAAATATGGTATAAAAAGAACACAGTCAAGTTGTTTTGACATTCGCAGACAGCTTTAACAACACTCAGTATTTCTAGAATAAAGGTTGCTCTTCCTCAGGAAAACGTGTCTCTTGGCCTAATCAGAGCAGAGCCCTTCAGTAGGCGTGCTCCAGTGTTTATTTCTGTTGTAAATCATAGAATGGTTTGGGTTGGAAAGGACCTTACGATCATCTAGTTCCAACCCCCCTGCCATGGGCAGGGACACCTCGCACTAAACCATGTCACCCACAACTCTGCCCAACTTGGCCTTGGACACTGCCAAGGATGGGGCAGCCACAGCTTCTCTGGGCAACCTGTGCCACCACCTCACCACCCTCACAGGGAAGAACTTCTTCCCTGTAACTAACCTAAACCTCCCCTGTTCAAGTTTGAACCTGTCATCCCTTGTCCTTCTCAGATTAGGAAAGAGTTTGAAACGGATGATTTTTAGAACGCGGATGGAGGTTGTGCTCACACAGGAGATGTTAAGAGATGCCTGCAAGCCAGCACTTTCTTCCAAAGCCTGTCACTGCCCTTCAGGCAGCTGCTCACACTGTACATGGCATTTAGTGGTGCCTTGAAGCCAAGTCTAGTTCAGTTCTGCACTCAGTAACAACAGGTGTCTTGTTTTCCCATGGAAACTACAAATAATTGCCACAGCAGTGTACTTACCAACGACCCTGAGGGATGCAAAAGTAATTCACTCCTGGGCAGTCAATACTTCTCCAAAACCAAACACTGTCATGCTCCTTCCAAGCCATCGTGTTTTGCGGCGCATGAAATGCCTAAAGATACCTCAAGGGAGTTCTGTTCCATGCTCTGTCAATACACCAGCCACGGAGCACTGACAAGACATGAAATAAGGGTATGTGGATACTCTCAAGTCTTTTGGTATCTTTACCAGGAGACAGGCCAGCAGCTAATCCATAGAATACACTGAATGAAAAACTCATTAGAGGAAACGACAATTCACGTGTACATAGAAGGGTTTCAAAATTTAATAGGTTGACTCAGTGAACAATTCAACAATTTTTAAAACATAAGAAACAAAGTTTAGGTGACACATTTAGAAAAAAGACATTTCTTGTATAACAAAGAGATAAAATGAAACATTTGCTCTGGTAAAAAACCAGCAATGCTGGTCCCTGCTTGAAGTGAGAATGCTGTAACAGAACTCTTAAAAAAGAAGCACCTGGAATTACATGACCAGTTTTGAACTGCTCATACCGTCACTTCTTCTCATAGCAACCTACCAAGTTGCTCTACAGTAAACAAGTTGGGAAGAGTACAGTCCAGTGATAAAGTCATCTTCTGTCAGCAGAATTCAGAGCCTCGAGTGTAAGCAAAGCATCTGATACAAGCTCACCTTCCTTCTAGCAATAAGAAACCACTTAATCCACAAAACAAAGAAAACTGTCATGATACTCCAAACAAAGTCACAGTAATAGGGAAGAAAAAAAAAAAAAAAAGCAAAATACAGTCTAAGGAAGATTCATTCACGGTAAGCATCAGTTTTTATTCCAGCCAAAGGGAGATTCTAGTAGTGGAGGAACAGCCGGGCCACCAGCCCAGACTTACAGTGCCCCCTCACTGCAGGGCTGACATCTGCTGTTGGCAGCAAACACCCTATGACAGTGCGTGTGGGTAACAAGCAGAAAACAGTTTCAGGCTCCTCCGTCACTAGAGAGCTTTTGTGCCCAATAATGGTCACCCATTACTCTGGAGGTACCTATCCAGGAACTGGGAATAGCAGTTTAGAGAACAGAAGTAGCAGATGATGGGTGCTTCCGTACCTCCCATGTTATCCACAAGGACCACAGTGTGAGCTACATGGTGGAGATTCATGGTCACTGTGATCTGAATGAAGCTGCTCAGACAGGCACTTCCACACTGGCATGTTTTAGCCACTTCCAGATCTTCGCAAAGGTGAGAAGGAAGGAGATGACAACCATAAGGGATTCTGTTGAACAAGAGCAAAAGTGTGAATTGACTACAAAATCAACCAATGTCACATAAACACACTGACACACCATATACACCAGTTGGAAGAAACCCTATTCAGAGATCGGAGACAAGGCATATCTGAAATTCTGCCACTTGCAATATTGGACTCGTTAGGAATTAAACACCACTTTCTAAGACAGACACTTTTAGTGACTGTTTCTAACATGTAACCGTGTTAGTGGCTAACCCCTAAATACCAAGGACCTGAACTCCAGAACACACTGCAACAAGAACCAGGGAGCTCACGCATATCCCAACAGGCTGTATCACAGCGACAGAGAGTCAGAGAATTAAAAAAATTAAGAATAATGAGAGAGACAACTGGGCATATCTCTGCTCTTCCCTCAAGCTAGGCAGGAAGATTGCTGTGTTTCATGCTGGCCTGACAAAGCACCCTGACTCTCTAACATGAGGAAGCAGTACCATAAAAACACTGGATCTAGAGGAAACAGGAGCCTTTTTGCAGTAGTACTACCTTGCAGGCAATAAATTAAGGTTCTCTTGATACACAGCTCTTTTTGTCCATCATGTCAATAATGACATCCAGTGACAGGAACAAGAATTGCTTCTTTTTAAATTCACAGCAGAGTGGCTTTGTGTTTCGGGTACAAACTGAATGTTTTCCCTGAAGTACTCCATTGAGTTAACTTCAGTGTGGGTATCACCAGTGCCCAGCTGTCACTCCAGATTCACACCATAGGTCTCACTGACTCACATCCCAACTACACCTACGTATTCCCAATTCTTTCTACATACCATCATTCACATAGCTAAGACTACTGTGGGGATTTTTTTCACCACCTCTATTTCAGGACATCCTTTTTTTCCGGTCAGGAAAAGCATAATCACAGCTGGTACTTGCCCAGAATGCCACTAGGAAGATTGATGTCCCAGCATTTGCTTTTGCATCTTCCCTCCTCCTGTTTTCTTCCTTTCTCAAGTTTTTACAGCCCATCATCACTTCTGTTTGTCATTCTTTGTTAATTTTGACAACCAGTGAACGTCAGGCAGAATGCCTATTGCCCACTTGTTAGACTTTTCTATTTGCTTTTCCATTTAAGATAATAAGGAGCACTCTGACCAATGCTGTCTCCTAATAATAATCACAGTCCTGTAGGCAAGGGGACTGTTTCCATTGCCCCTTGTCTCATTGAGACTCCTGGAGCAGAAAGCCTTTCTTATTCTGTGTGGTGCCATTTTCTTCCAGCCTTCTGCATGGTGCTCAGGAGCTAGGATTATGCGTAAATACTCTGGCAAAACCATTTAATTGAGCACCAAAATCTGTCTGATGCTGAGGGATTATATCCTCGGGGCGGGGGAGGGGGGGAAATCAAGCCAAAATGCCACAAACATGATAGAATATTTCAATCAAAATCACTGCAATTTATATAAAGTTGGGAAAGGAGACACGTGGAGTTTAATTACTCTTAATAACATCAGCAAGGTCAGAAAGATATGAGCCAGAACATTTAGTTGCTCAGCTCATTTCCAGGGTGTGCCCTGGACACCTTTAGCACAGACTTCAGGGTAATTAACCCAGGTTTATGGGGCGCTCCCCACCCCCAAGGCAGGAATGAGCACAGAATGTAGATTAGGAACCCCTTAGGTGTGTCTCTCACCCCCTTTCTGTACCCATGACTCTTTTCCATCTTCTTGCTCCCCTTCCACCCAGAAGAGGGTGGGAGTAGCAGTGGCTGATATTAGAAAGATCAGTGGCAGGATGCAGGCAGAGCTATGTGAGTGGTGTGGGGGAAGGGGAGAAAGCTGATAAGGAAGAGCAGCCTGGCAAGGACAGTGTTTACTTGGTGAAATAAGAATTTTAAAATTACCTCAGAACTGGGCTTCTCCACCTAAGACAGAACAACCTCACTCCCACACCAAAGGAAATTAACAGCTTAAAGAAAACCTAAGGTAGGGAGAAGTCTGCAGTTGGTAATGCTGACTCCAGCATAACATTTGCCCTCTGTGAAGCCACCTCACTGTACCTTTCTAACCCTGCTCAGCTTGAGGAAGGTCCCATCTCTAGCAGAGGAAGACCAATCTGTGGCTGCAACTAGGAGCTGTATGGTACCTTTTGCTAACACACTATTTTCACAGAGGAAAAGCTAGCAACAGGCTAACAGGTACCATGCACAATTTAATGCGAGCACACCATGTCTGAAAGCGATTCCCAAGCTAGAGCCCAACACAAAACATGATCGGTGCCACAGAATCCACTGTAACATAAGCTCCTCAATACTAAATGCCAGAAGTGGTTCAGGGTTGTAGATCTGATTCTCTTTTCCCATAGTTGGGCAAGAATACTGTTACAGTACTCCCATTTTGTGGATAAAACCATTTCAACCTGTAACTTTCTCTAAATGCTTCTGCATCACCGATTTCCTAGGTTATCCTGTATAACAAAGGGATGATTTTACAAGTGGAATTCAAAGCAACTTTAACCTTATGATTTTTAATAGGTGAAAAGCAGTAAGAGCAATAGCCACTGACTGAGACAACAACAGAAAAAATCCCAAACCCAAACAAGTCAGGAAAGTTTAGACTCAACAGGTTTGAAACAGCATAGGTGCAATGTGTACCCATCATGCTACTCTTACCTGTAATTTATGGTTGCTCTTGCAGCACACTCTAATAAAGTCAATGGTATTTGCAATTGTATGTTGGGAACAAGCATATTGGGCTGTTCAAAAGGATTTCCAAAGAGATCCAGGCTCTCAAGACAAAGTTTCCTAAAGTCACTGGGCAGGAAAGGAAGTTTGTTTCGAGCTGCTGACAGAAAGCGTAGATGATCTAACTGGCCAATCTTGAATGGCAGCCTAATCAACTCGTTGTCATCCAGCTTCAAATTCACCAGTTCTCGCAGCTGGCAGAACTGAATTGGAAGTGCTTTGATTTTGTTTTGGCTCAGGTCCAAGAACTGAAGAGATTTCTGAAGCGTGGAGTTGCACAGAGCCCCACTGAACGACTCCAGGTGATTGTCCTGCAAAATAAGCTCCTGAAGACAGGTCAAGTCACCGATAGTAGCTGGCAGCTGCTTAATGTGGTTATGACTTAGGTCTAGTTTTCGGAGTTTCTTCAAACAAAGCACACGTGTGTCGATCCGAGCCAGTTTGCAGTATGAGGCTTGGAGATGTTCGAGGGAATAAGGGAAGTTTTTGGTGAGAGGGTAGTCCCTTCTTGAAGTTATGATCATTTTTGTCTTAGGTTTTTCAACTTCCGAGTTCTTCGCTGGTACCAAAGTTGAGAGAGGGAGAGCTCCTGTGTCGGTCCCTTGGTGAGCCAGTCTCACAGCTGAAAGGAAATTCTTTAAATTGCTGGCATTTGCCTACAGGAAAACACAAATATGGAATTAAAAGTTCATTATTCTTGTGTTCATTTTTGTACTAACACTTTCTGAACTATTTTGTACATGGATCAGGGGCTACCAACTCAGCAGGGCAATGAAATGGGAAACAAGTTGGGCTTATTAGGTTGACGTGCTGTTTACAGTATTTAAGAACAAATGGCATGCAATTTGAATGGGAAGTTATGACCTTTCTGAATAATCTAGATCAAACAAACTGGGCTGCATTACTCAGAAAAGAAACAAAGCACTGAATTCACAGCTGAAAATAAAGTACAGAACAAACACCTGACACGCTGTGATCTTCCTAACCTGCAACATGATAAAGGGACAGTTCACAGAAACACATGCGGGGAAATCCGAGATCTAAAACCTGAGGTGATAATTCTGAAAATGCTAGGAAGGAAAAGGATGGAAGCTGAGGTTAAATGCAACAGGCGGAAAGCTTCAAGGCAGGTTAGGTAAGTGCTCCTGGTCACACAGAGCAGCTCTGGTTGGTTGTACCAGAATTAAACAAGAGGATAATTACTTGCAGTCCTTCTGCAAACAACTGACCAATTCTGCTTTAGCTGGGATATAATACAACGCCAATAAAGACAGAGAGTTAAATTAATGGAGTATCAGATGAATTTTAAATAAAAGTCAAGAAAGCTGCGATACATTTGTTGTACTGATATAATTAACTTCCATGAACAGGAGGGCGACCAAATATTTCTTTCTAAATTTTCCAGCAAGTCTCCACTCAAGCTGATGTGCAGCTGACAGACACTAAGCTATAAAGTGAATCCTAAAATAAACAGCACGATACATCCATGCAAGTAAAAGTCATCTCCTATTGCAGGAAAGAACAAACTTGGAGTTTTGGCATGGCTCAGGGTCGAGAAGTTTGCACTCTGCTCCCAGCTGTAACTTGGCCAAACCCAGTCACATTCATTTCTGCACCTGAAAGAAAATTTTACTCTGAAATGTATCTGATTATACTAAATTCTAGAAAACTAGCTTACATCATATGCTATAAGCACCTAGCACAACAGAGCAATCATCTTGGAGACTTCTGGATGCTAATGTGATGCTAATGACTGCTGTAGCTGAACCCAGGACAGACATAAATAGACCATAATGGTCAAGCATAATTGACCGCACCAGTATCCTAAAATGATTGTTTTTCTGAAACATCCCATGCACATCTGTCATGGTTTAAGCCTTTTTGGGGGAGGGGAAAAAGGGGGGAGTGAGTGAGTGGCTGCGTGTTTCTGAGTTACTGGCTGGGCTTGAACCACGACAACATCTATTCTCTTAACTCCCGATGTGATACCCTCCAGCGATGGCGAAGTTGCACATCAAAAACCTCCGTGTATTCAAGACCACCAACATTCATTATCTCAGCCAATCTAAATAAATTAACCTCAGAATGCTGCCCTAACTACATTCAAATGTGTCATATTTCCAAGGGTAATAAGAAGCAACTAAAATTGGAGAAAAAGTCCTCCAGACCTGTAAGATCAAGTAAAATCATACATTACATATATACATTAAAATGAAGTTACAGGCAATATTTCTTTGCTCTCAAAGCATGAGGCACGACAGATCCCCCTATCAAATTTTCTCCACCATACCTTCACAAAGACAATATTGTATCTGTAAAGACGCTGTTGAGAAACCCTGAATACATTGAAAAAATACTAAGGTATATGTAAGAAAAAAACCAACCCCAAAGAATTAGTTGGAATTGCTCAGGATACAATTTTCTGTCACAAGTCCAAAGTGTCAACCACAAAAAAAGGATACTGGGAAAAGAAGTTAATCTGTGTTGATGCCTTACAGGTCTCTTGTTTCAGAGCTAAATGTGTGATGACAAGGCAATCGAGACTACAGGGATTTCAGATCTTGTGTGCAATGCAGCAGGCACAGGCTTGCTGAAGGGAAAAAAAACAAGACAGTGACTTTTTTTTGCTCCAGGGTTGAATGCTCCAGACCAACATTTCTCAATTTCTTATGTGGCCAAGTGCAACAAATCGGGATAGCTGTACCTTCATACCTGGAAATCTCTTTTTTACCAAGCTTTTGTCTGTCTTTGGGAGTTAAGAAACCTTTATATAATGAAACCATCAAAGACCAGCAGAAACACCACAGAAAAGTTACCAAATATCTTGCACTGTGTTTCTGAATTTGGAGCATTTAAGAGGAACGCATAGCTTCACTGGTTTTGGAAGAATTCAGTGGATTTGTTCCTGGAGCTTGACAGTACCAGGTTGAGCCTTATGTTAAAATGGGGAGCGAGGATCTAGCGTCCTTGGGGCAAGTCTGGTCATTACCCCAACTTCTGTTTCATTAGATCACCATCCTCATAATGAAGAACTTCTTCCTTGTAACTCACCTAAATCTCCCCTCTGTCAGTTTAAAGCCATTCCCCCCTGTCCTATCCCTACAGGGCCTTGTAAGAAGTCCCTCTTCAGCTTTCTTGTTGGCCTCTTTAGGTATTGTGCTCTAATGTCTCTCAGAAGCCTTCTCCATGCTGAACAACCATATTTCTTCCTAATAAATTTATCAACAAATTTTTTTTTCCTTGCTCTCCCCACCTATTTGTTCAGCCCATAAATCAAAAGCTCTCTAGGCTTCACTCCATGGCTACATCTCCATGGAACATAATTTGAGCTCATACACCCAGAGTGCACTGAGATTCCTGTATGCAGATATCTCAATTTCAAGTCTGAAAACAGTGCTAAATGCTCCCCACATTACAGCTATTTAACCAAGAAGAAAATTGCCAGTAGCTTTCAAATACCTAATATGGTACTAAAAGGGAGAATTATAAATTGTTCCACTAATTCACTGTGTTGCTCAAGCAGATCTCGCAGCCTGCCCTGAGCTCTAGCCTTCTCCAGACTGTTGCGAGTGCTGGTGCAGCTGCATTTTAAGCACACCTTGTGCACTTCTCCTTAGACAGGCCCTTTGAGAAAGCATTCTGCCTTTAGAGGAGTAAGCTTCACCACTCCTGATTACAGCTGCTCAGTCTGCACATCACTGAAATTATTAACGGATCTCCTTCAGGCCAAAGAACGATGTTTACAACAGAAAGTCAAACTGATTTCCCAAACAAGCAATCAATATTATTTGCTTTTATTTACATACCCGAACTCTGAAGTTTTAGAAAAGCTCTCCCACTTCCCTTTGCTACAAGGCAACAAAAGTTTACTGGAACAGGCACAGGAAAAAAACCAACTTAACCACATGAAAACTGAATGTTAATATATGATTTCTTTTTTTGTGAATTTAGTTTTATTACAAACACTTTACAGCCTCCAAACAGCTGATGAAGCGTAAATAAATACATTGGTGAGTCCTACTACCAGCTAAACATTAGGTGAGATGGTGTGTGTACGGCTGATCCATATCATGTGTGTCTCCAGCTTCGACACTGCTTGTCTGCTAATACAAGAGTATTCTCCTTTTTTCTTTTTTCATTAGAAAGGCTGTAAGCAGTAACTTTTTTTTTTCCATGCAATATACAGCTAAGTAGCAAGATATAGTATCAGAGAGATGAAAAGAGTTGTTTCTCTCTAAACAAGCAATGAAGAACAATGTGAAAATTGACTTTCCCGATCCTGCTCTTTTCTCCCAAGGAAGCAGGAGGCAGAATTACAAAGCAGCCCAGCATATCAGCTGGGCTCAGCCTTCGTAGCACAGAATGAGTGAGATTACTTATTTTTCCCTTTTTGCTGTCCCTAGTGAGGGCACAGAAAGCCAAGCTCCTTCATGCTGCTTCGTTTACATCTACGCCAAAGTTGCGACAGGTCAAAGGCTGTTAAGACTTACTCGCTGTGTGGAATCTGTCGGACTGACCCCCAGCAGACAAGACAGCCCGGGAACGCTCCGGGACCTGTCCAGCAAGGTGGTGGAGCAAACTCTGCGGGCCACCCTGCCACCTCCACCACGGTTTCTAGCACGGGCACGGCACCAATTCCCCGCCGGTGTCCCGGGCCCCCGCACCCACCTTGCTGAGGCAGACGTCCACGGCGGGCTCCCGGAGGCGCACGGTGGCCTTGCCCTCCTCCACGAACCGGGTGAAGAACCGCTCGATGTTCTCCTGCACCTACGAGG